CAAAATATAAACTGTTGCACAGAGTTAAATACATGAAAAAGTTGTGGATATCAAAACTTGATATGGCACAAATGCAAGTGTAATGTGTAATGTGCAACACAAGTCATTCCTTTAAAAGTAACTTTTACAAAATGATCCAGTCATTATTTTATTGAATATGTTGGAGTTTTGTAAATACAGTATAACAGTTTGGTTAAAGTAATACACTAAATAAATGGTAAAGTTAATACAGTTACATAGTTTGAACTTAGCACCGAAGGGGAGAAAACACTATGCACTTATTTTTCCATGTCTGTAATTATATTTGTTGATTTGCACATCAATAAATATCTTAAGTCAATAAAAACACTTTGGTATTGCACTGATGCTGACTCCCTCAGTGATCGTGTCAAGCAAGTTTGTATTAAGGAGTTTTGTATTTTAATTACTTTTTGTTTTAACTGCTTTTGCTGAGGATTTCTATTAATAATGTTTTTTGTAATTTTATGTCTGCAAACCAAATTTTTTAACAGGACAGGAGAAGTTAAAATGAATTCATTATTAGTTACTCAAACATTTACAGTGAATATGTAAAGTACTATATACCCAGTAATGATATACAGTATGCTCATCAGAATCAAATGCTGATATTCATAAGGTAGCCTAAAGAGTTAGGACTAAATATGAAGTTGTCAAATATACACAATGTTTCCAAAGATGGTTTATAAGAAAGTTTTGATTTTTCCTTTGTAAAAAACAAAAACAAACAAACAAAAAAAACCTGTTTTCTTCAAAATCCAGATTTTGCTTTGTTTATCTATATATGACTTAACTCTTGATTTCTTGGAAATTTCAGAGCCAACAGGATTATACAAAAGACAACTTTGCAGATATATGCACAATTTGTGTCAGTGTGTGTCACAGCATTACCAAGGAAACTCAGTAACAACTGACAGCATCACTGAGTTGCTGTACAGTCGTCGCTCATTTTGTCACAGCGGCATTGTGTGTGTGTGTGTTGACTATGTATCTATGTTGCTTACACGTACTCCCTTTAACTACCCATCATGTCCCTACTTGTTGTTTCTACTCTTTTCTCCTTCCCTCTCACTTATTATTCTGTCGCTTGTAGTGTCCTCACTTGCCACCCTCTCCTCGTCTCTCTTCCCCTCTCTCTCTGGGACAGCAGATGGAGACTATGGCCCAGTTCTGCCTTTTGTTCTGGGTCCCCAGAGAGACCTGTGGCTTTCTGGACAGCACACTGCTCTGCTCCCCATATCTCATACAAAATGCAAGCGCCTTTCTTTTCAGCAAAGAATGAAGCTGTGGAATGCACTTATTTTGAATATATTCATTGAAATGAGCACAGCTTACAGAGGGTTAAGAAAGAGGCTTGACTAAAGTAATTTTAAATCACCCCTTGACTTTACTGCACCTTTTTTATATGAATCTTATGTAGCCTACCGGTCAAAGGTTTGGACACACTTTCCCTTTCAATTCAACATGAAAGTGTATCCAAAGTTTTTTGCTTGACTGCAGCCCATGGCATTTGCCACAGGAAGTTAAAGATAAACTCAATTTGAGACTATGAGTCTGAGTGTCCCACCTGTTAATGGCATCATTTAATGTCATGGATAAGAATATTTGTCCCTGCTGGCTGTTCAGCTTTATTCAGGAGGGTACGACAAGAACTAGAACACACTGACGAGGCCTACAGGTCGATTTATCGCGCTGTTAAACAATCTCCCTTAAATACAAAGACGATGAAAGGACTGCAAGGAACCAGCTGCGAGGGTGAAGATAGGGGGCAAAAGGTACGTCGGCGCGTACACATAACCATGGACGCTTTTCTTTCCATGTTCTTCCTTTACTCACAACAGCATCCGCACGCGTCAGTGCGTCTCAGAGTCTCTGTGACTCCAACCCTCTGTTGTTATTTTCAAAACGTCCGCGCATAAATAATTAATGTGCATGAAACAGTGAAACCTCAGGCTGCCCAGCATCCCACCTGTTGAAGATGCAGGCTGCGTTTACCCCCCAGTTTCCATAAGAAGCACCACTGGTTAAAAATCCATCTTTAGCCAGTTACAGGCTACAGCTATGGAAGAAATATGAATGCACCTTACAACATATTTATTTCAAGACGCAGTTTAGACATTAAAATACAAAGTGAGATAAATGGACCTTCGGCTAGAGGCATTACATTCAGCAGCTCCAGATATTAAGTTAAAGATAAGAATATGAAGGTTTTTGAGTTGAGCCAAGACGCGACTGTGAATTTCCTCTGTGGTTTATGCATTTGCACAGTGCGCGGATGCTATAAAAACAAAACTAACGTTTTATAGAAAACGTCCTGAAGCGCTGTCCTCTTTGTTGTGGAGAAGAAATACATTTTGTCCTGCAGTTAATATCAAGGAGGTTTAAGAGAAATTTCAGTGACAAAAAAGAGCTGTGTTTCAGTCGCGCACTCCCCTTATGAACGTGGTAATATTCACCTTTTCTAGAAACTGTTTGAGACACATTTTGTTTCAGCTCTGTGTTTTTTTTTTTTTTTTTTTTTTTTGTTTATGGGTTTACATTTTTTACAGGAATAGAGAGGTGTTTCTGTTATCGAGCTTCAAATAACCACAAGTCAATCAATCTTTAAAACAGTTTCAACGAAAATACGAACATTCACATTTACTGTTGTATTAGGCTGCATTGGTTTTAGGCTTGTGAATACGCTTTGAATTAACTGTGGCCTCATAATTTAACGATTTTCGTTGATATCACCTTGTATCTGTTATATATATATATTTTTTTACAGTATCCGTTTAAAAAAGTTTGCCGAAACTTGAACTCATTTCACTGCAACACTAACTGGCTACAGATGGCTGTCTGATCATATTAGGATATAGTTTTACCTTCAAAAAGTCTGTTAATAATTTAACACAGCATCCTCATTATAGTCCTCTTTATTCCATGGCTTCAAGAGGCCAGCAAAGGGGCACGGATTGTGATTGGCTACGACGGTGGGTGGGAGACAGTGCAGTGACAGGGAGCAAACAGGTAATTCAGGTAGTTTCATAAATAATTTCTTAGCAGTTTTGCTTTTTTGTACCACGCCCCTTTGTCCCCCAGGCCTTTGAAACATTGATGAGCCGCAAATAGAAAGAGAAAGGAAAAAAAACTGACTGCAGCCTGAGTCACGCAGCAGGACAGGGTGAAAGAGCCGGTGCGCGTGCATCCACGTCCACTTGCATGTTTGTTTGAGTTAATGGAGAGGGAGAAAGGAAGGGGTAAAAAAAGGAGGAAAGAGGAGGAGGTGTCCCGACGTGTGTTTGTGGGTGCGTGTAGGTCTTTCTTTAGTTGAGAAAGTGTGTTCCCTCTCTTGAGTCAGGTCCTCGGGGACACAGTGGGGACCCGCGAGCGCTCACCAGCTGACAGCGCGTGACTCACTGAGGCCATCCAACACCTCGGCCCACGAGCCTACCAACAACAGCTAGATATGAATGCGCACTCCCCATGACCAAACCTGTAATTCACAAAACGGAAAACATGGCAACAGTTCAGCGAAACAGACCAATCCGCATAGTGCGGAGACGTCCCGAGGAAACAACACTACAGCGCGTCTCTGCGGACATCGTACAGTCCATAGGACCACAATAACAGGGCTGCGGGCCAAAGGGTTCGTGCACCCGCAGCATATGGCGAGCGAGCGCGTGCGGGACACGTTTCACGTCGCTGTTAGTTTACGATAAATTACACAAGAGGAGCTCAAGTGTTGAAAGCATCGGTAATTATATGGCCATGCCTGTTTATGTGGTTTGGAGTCGTTGAACAGTAAACTTGTATTTAGTGATGATCCCCTTCACCCTACTTAGAAAGGCCCTGGTAATTTACTGTGACTTCAGCTACGTTTATAAATTATGGTTACACCTAGATGTAACTTTGGGTCATACATTAATAAATAATAAACAACGTAATAAAACGTTCGCCTTTATAGGTTAATATTTAATAACCTGTCATTTAAATATTTTATTATTAGCTTATTGTTGTTCTTGTGTTATTGTTCAGTAAACGTTTAGAAGTATAATGATAACACTACAGATCGGTTTAATAACAATGATATAGTTATTATTAAAAATCATTTTGATGGAAATCAACCAACACTTATTTTAAGAACAAAACCATTGAATGGTTTATTGCAGTCATCTAAGAAAAGTTTGTGGAAACAAAAGAGAAAGAAACGTGACTTTTTATTAGTTTTTTATTCTCAAAAATCAAATTTAACATAACAATAAATGGCAAAATAATAGTTTTTTTTATTTTAGCAATTTTAACTGTGGAGTAAAAAAAAGCAAAGCAAATGAGACATAGCAATAAATACAAGACAGTGAATCACATCCAGTGAAAGAAAAAGACAAGCTCGTTTGAAGATACAAAAGAAAAACAGTACAAAAGGAGGCAGCAATGATGGCTACATTAAATAGGCTATTTGTGTGGAATTGGCAGTACTACACTATCAAACAAAAGCAAAGCGATATTGTTTATGGTTTGGAAACAAAAGTCGTATTTCTCAAGCCTCTGGCTCGTACATTTATTTTTAAAGTGCACATCATGAACTTTTGAAGTTGCAAAACAAAATGCATTATGCAAACAAATTGACACATAAAAACAAAATCACAACAAAAATCACATTATAGCTACAAAAAGTTTTTACATTATCAAATAGACTATAAACAGTTATGCATAAAAGTATGATTTTGTGGAAGACAACTTTTTTGGTCGGAGTGACGTGGGAAATGCCCATGGCAGTGCTGTGCGCGACATGGCAGAGGGGTCTTCCAGCCACGTCTCCATGGAAACTGGAAATTATAGGCTATACATCTATTGGCAGAACCGAATTAGGCCTATCTCACATAAAAATAATCTTTAGACTATGCAAAGTTGATAAAATTGAACGTGACACTCTTCTTGAAGAAGCATCCATTTCTATTCTCTTAGAAAATGCACTTTGTTAGCAACACAGACCGGGGGTATGATCATTTTGTTCACGAATAAGAGTCTATTTTTTTATTTTAAAATACTTAAAGAGAAATAGCGTGATGACGGTGGATGGGGAGCTTGAGTTCTGAAAGGTCATCTTCTTCACTTGAGTGGAGCTCCATTGCTATTTCATCCGAGTCACTTAGGTGGGAATGCGGGGAAAACTCTCCATCGCTCCGGGGAGATTCTTTCCTTCGACCTCCGACCGGTGCGAGCGAACCGCCTGCACGAGTGGAGGATGAAGGAGAAGGCGAACACATCGCTTCTTTAACCATGGCGGAAAATGAACCGTCATCGAAGGAGGAGCGGAAAGACATCCCGCTGATGTGGACAGGTAAGCTGCTACCTGGGACGGGCACAGCCGCACGTTCTCCACAAGCTGTCCCGATCGCAGGGGACTGGGGAGCCCTGCCTTTCGCACCGTCTAAACCGACGGCGGAAGAAAGCATAGTGTCACACTTTGGCGAGTCGTTGTCGGTGCTGCAGTTGCTGGTGGAGACCGGACTCTGGAGCAGCTCAGCTAGAGCGTTGATGTAAATCTGCGCCATCTGTAAAGTTTCATATTTGGAGAGCTTTTTGTCGTTGTCAAACGCCGGGATGACGCTGCGCAGCTCGTCAAACGCGTGGTTAAGCCCATGCATTCGCCTCCTCTCGCGCGCGTTGGCGGCCACGCGCCTCTGTCTCTGGATCCCGTTGGCCGGTTTGCTGGACTGGGCTCTCTGTCTGGTGGATGCTTCTTCCGCGAGCCCAGTGACCGTGCATTTAAGACGGCACAGGTCCCTGACTTTGAGCGAAGAAGAGGAGGGGCTCTTCGTAGGTTTTCGGTAACTGGTAGGGCTTGGATGGCCTGAGGACCCCGGAGAGTCTGTCTCTGAAAAATTAAAACAAAGATTTACAGAACTGGTCTGGTTTGAATGCATCCTATAATATAAGCATATAGCCCGCTTCTGTCACTGTTAGTTGAAAGTCAAGAGCATAACAATGCTTTAACTGTAAAAAGTAAACACGGACATTAAAGTACTCTGTAAAGAAATCTATATTTTTACTCTTCGAATGCAGACAATCACTACTTCAAATGCAATTTGTCTTTGCATGTGATAATATTTGCAGTGTTGTTGAAAATGGAAATTATAAGCAGCGTTTCTCACCCTGGTAGGAGCCGGTGCTCGGGCATGGCGAGTGCCGCAGGTAGTCGGGTGAAGTGACCTGTGCTGCACAGGTGCCAGAAGGCTGAACCGGAGCCAGCCAGGCGCGTGTGTCACTGCCACTGTCCACGAGCGTCACTTCAGATTCGTAGCGGGACTCCTGGAGCTGCTGCTTTCCTCCCCTGTCCACCACTCTCGGGCTCAGTTGCTGTGCGCCTTTCCTCCAGTCTTCCGTACTTAGGATCTCCATGTTTCCAAAAAAAAAAAAAATCCCAACAGGTAGGTAAATTTGAACACGCTGGCAATATTAGAAAAAAGTTAGTGAAGACACGCACCGCTATGCTGTTTCACTGTGTGAATGTGAGTGTCGCGTGCGGGACTCCTTCTCCGTCTCAAGGCGCCGCGTCGGCTTAAAAAGCGGCACGCGCCTGGGAGCCCCCCTCCTCGCGCTGGTCGCGTGTTGACGTCCAATGGGAAGTCTCGGTAAAGCCCAAGAGAGGTGATTATGACCCCCTGAAGCCGGAACGTTTATGATAATGTTAGGATTTCAGGTGCGTTTAACGCAAAAGAGGTAAGGGGAACCTCCCATAGGACGTGAGTGCATGGGGTGGTGACGGTGTTAGGGAAGGAGTGTATAGGAAACGCCAGACGGGCGCAGCTGTGACAGAATTCCTACCTGTCCGTCTGCTGTCTTACATCTCAGGCATGTCAGAGGAGGGAGGAGGAAAGAGAGGAAGTTGGAGAGGGTGAGAAGGGTTCATTTGCCATCTCCAACTATTATCGCGTAAAGGTCACATTTGTGTCTGATTGGCAGCAGGAAAAGCTGACCAGCTCAACATTCCTCATCAGAACCTCCTAACTCCAAAATGCAAGTCAGCACAGAGTAAGGTTCGTCACACCTAGCACTATCACAGCCAGTATTAGGAAAGTTTATCGAAAAGAAAGACTTTGTCTAAACTCAAAGTATGCCACTTCATCTAAGTAAAGGCACTAGATAACATAGGCCTATAGAACATTTCATTCTTTAACACAAATGGGAGAAAGGGGACCATAAAAGGAAGCAACTTTGAGCTAACTAAAGCGTGACAAAAGTAACCCCCCACCAAAAGAAAGCCAAAAGCATTTTGCGGCTCCTGGGGCTCCCGCACTCATTGTCAATTCATTTCTTCTAGGATCATCTCTAGTTTCCATTTTCCTTTTGTAGCGGGTCTAAACCTTTTTGATCCAGCTCTCGGAACGCCCTGTCACTAAAAAGGACTTCACAGGGAACGGAAACATGAGCAGGGGTCTGGCGCTCAGCACTGAACACTGTTTCACTACTGACACGAGCTGTGTGAGGCGCGCGGTTGCAACTGGAAGCAGTGGTCGTCCCCCCCACCCCACTGTGTTTTCATTCCTTGTGGGGACTTTACATTGACGTACATTCATTTCCTGTAGACTTATCCTGACTTAACCATAACCACTACTTGCCTAACCCTGACCCTAACACTTAACCTAACCTCACCCTAACCTTAAGCCATGTTGCCATCCTAAGATTCAGTGATTGGATGGCTGAGTCCCCACAATATGAGTGTATTAACAGGTTTCAGTCCCCTTAATTTAACTAATACAAAGGCCTACACACAGAGAAAGAGAGAGAGAGAGATGGACTCAAATACACAAACAGAACATTATTCACCCTTAATTTCTGATACTACATGTGATATTATTTGTCATCTTTACTTTTCAAATAATTATTAGGTAATTTAATAACAGCCATGAATACTTAGTGAAAGAGCCTTGGACAAATTAAAGCTATTTGGGGAAGCACCTCCAGTCTACTGATCAAAGCAGCTATGCTTACTGAGATCAATTAGGTCTAACCTGACAAATGAACAAAGGGCCAATTGCTGGGTGGAAATTAGCTGGCTATTTAACCTAATTGCTACTGTTGATTTGGGATAAGAAGGATATAGCCTCAGCTATGTTGAATACAGTACAGTGATCAAGGGGGGGCAGCATGGCCTATCCGTTAGGCTACGCCCAGTCCTAATTTTGTCAGCAACAGGGCCTAAAATTCAAACAAAACAAAAAACAACATTATAGGAACTATGACTCTATCAAGTAAACATGTCAGCTTTGATATAAAAGTATAATAAATGTTACTGATGGTTAGAAATATGATTTTTGCCCATTTTCTGAAAATTACGAGAAACCAGGGTAGCTGGGAATTGTGGGAAAAATGCATTTTGTGGGAGGAAATCCCATAATTTCAGAGATAACCCAACATCAGTCTTTTCTGGTTTTTATTCATGTATTCATCATGTGGACGTTTTGTGGGCTAGAGGTCTGGCGCCAAGTGTTCGCCCCCTCTTCCCACCTATAAGCCCCCCATCCAACGGGCCAGGCCGGGCTCCTGAAGCTACCGACAGGTTGGATATTGTAGCTGGTGATTATTAAAGTGTCGCAGCCACAATGGACACTCTATGTTCCATTGGTCACGCCTAGGGGGCTCCTCAAGGGAGAGGGGGGGTGCTCTCATTCCAATGCACGAGAGGAGTCTGCGTGCTGCCGCTTCCCATCCCCATCACCCGGGAAACCGGGGCACGACGGCCACGAGACTGGAGCGAGGGGAGCTGGACAGGGATTTCCAAACCTAACTGTTAGCTTTCCTAAACTCATTAAATCCAAATCTGATATTTTTGATGAAGTACTCTTAAAACAAGTGTATTATCTCTAAAGTTAGTTAGATTCTAACTTCACGAGTTTGCCACAGGCTACCTAGGGCCTACCTGACAAATCCAGACCACCAAATTATTCAAGTGCAATTTAGGGAGGTAGAAGGATGAGAGTGGTGCAAAATAAAGTACATTTACTCAAATAAGCTATTGTACTTAACAGGAAAATACTGCAGTATAAATATGTAAAAGATGCAACGTCCTAATTTTTCCTCCACATTTGACACTTTTATTATCATTATACAACTTATCCTGCTTGACTCCAAAACATTTCAAGTGAAGATGAACTTTCAACAAAACAATGAAAAGGGCAGAATAATATAAGATATAAGTTAGAAAGACTTAGCAGTGAAATGACAGGTGCTGGTTTTATCAATAGGAAAAAGCCTTGATATCAAGTTGGCTGTTACTCAGGTGTGTCCAGTAGAATGTAAAACACCACATGAACATCAGAGATTTCTTCCACTCAATTTTCAATAATTTGTCAACGTCTGACTGTCATTCATCTTGTCATAAAACTCAAATTGTGTTAATTCTGAAAAGGAGACAGGGAGATTGCTGACCCTTGTTGGAGCTAAATAGTGCCATTCTCTGGTTAAACAAGGATACTACAATGTAGTGCTCCATTGAACTTGACAGCAGTCGTCCTCAGCAGTGTGCCTATCCAGCTGTTAACAGCAGTATACAGGGCTTTGAAGTGATTTGAATTCAAAGACACAAAAGCTTTGCTCATGCTTGAACTTAATCTATTGCAGACAAAAAATCATCTCACAGTGGTTGACATTTGTATTTTACCCTTAACTTTAACCCATACACTCCTGTTACAGGTTTCATCATTTACAGTTAGTACTGAAATGAGTAAAATTCATATACAATTAAATGACACCCTGCCTGCATCAACCAATTTTATTTTTGTGTTTTTAGATCTAGTTAATGCTTTTAGTTTTGTGCCACTTAGCCTACTGTGGGAAGCACTAGCTTATTGTAAAGTACCAGACTTAGTTAAAGGGTTAGAGGGAGAATATTTTCAGGATATCCAGATATTTTTCACAGCAGCACAATAGAACACAGCTTGGCAGCAATTGGAGACAGGCATCATGGCAGAATGGACAATCTCACCAGCAGTGTTTACCATGGCAATGGAGGTTATTATTAGGGCATCTAGATAGGTTGCAGGAGGATCAAGACTTTCTCAGGGCAACAGTTAACACCCATAAGAGCGTACATGGATGACATCACAGCTATCACCACCACAGCATCATGTACCAGAAGACTATTGGACAAGCTGAATGCTAACTTAAAGTGGGCTAGAGTGAAGGTGAAGCCAACAAAATCAAAGAGAATTCCTGTTCTCCACAGACCTCTCATTGAAGTGTTGAAGTGTCCATGGGCAAGACATTGAACCCCAAGTTGCTCCCATTGGCAGGGACAGCGCCACCATTAGTGTGTTTGTATGTGTGTGTGTGTGTGTGAGTTGCCACAGATGTCTGCCTCGGTTCTGTACTGGAGACAGATTTCTTGTGTGTGTAACACACTGGGCCAATAAAGGTGATTATTATCATCATCATCTTAGTGATAAAGAGCAAATTTAGGGCTCGAAACATCAGGCATTTAATGGGATTAAGACCACAGTAGCATCAGGCCTTCCAGGCAAACTCAAACTGTGGTGCCTGCAGTTTGGTCTTTTGCCATGATTGTTATGGCCACTGACAGAGTATGATGTATTAATTTCACGTACATTAGGAAGTGGCTGTGAGTTCCACGCTGCTTCAGCGGTGTGACCCTGTATGGAAAAGGGATTGTGGCATTCCCTAAAACCAGTTTAACAGAGGAGTTTAAATGCACATCACTTTGGCACATCCTGTCAGGGTGTAAGACAAGCCAGGCTCAAGGACAATACACCTGGAGACATAATCAAGTGTTGAAAGGTTTAGCAGCAGCTATTTAAAGTAGGCACTTAGAGGTAAACTGAATGAAAATGGAAGTAGATTTAGGGAATTAGCTCGTAGTTCTGAGGAGATAGTCAGCACTAACCTCAGATCAGACCTTGTGTTGTGGTCAGAAGCAAAGCGGACTGTGTATTTTGCTAAGCTCAAAGGTCCCTGGGAGGACACCATAGATGCAGGTTATGAGAAGAAGAAACTCAAATACAAAGAGTTAGTCATGGAGGCAGAGGAGCATGCCTGGAAAGTTAAAGTCCACCCCGTGAAGGTCAGTTGTAGGTGATTTGTAGTCAAGTCAGTTTTCTCTCTATTAAGTGAGTTAGGTTTAAAGGGGTGGAACCTAAGACAAGTAAATAGGAATCTAGGTGATAGTGCGGTGAGGTCCAGCGAGTGGCTCTAGAGCAGAAGAAAGGTGAGGAATCCATACAAAAATCCCTTAGCTTCATTGTGAGTAGTTAACAGTAACAGCATCAACTTACCAGTAAGATGCGACTTGTACAGAATTCGAAACGAGCCACAAACAAGCTGAACATTGTGGAGTGAAGGCACTTTGGCAAACTTGCTGAGAAAAAGATGTTAACTTTGTTAGCGATATACAAAAAGTCCTTTAAATTGTCATGCCTCTGCTCACAAGAACAGAACAGACAGTGAAACTTGTTAGATAGAAGGGCCTTCAGTATTATTTTATAAAGAGCTGTCTTCACTGAGGTGCCTCTTTCTTTAAATTTACAGATGTTAGGAGCAACATGAAAGGGAACCTCATATGTTTAGAAGGTTTTCCATGCCAGAGGTGAGCCCCAAATCACACACAGAAACACAGTAATGGTTCACAATTCCATGATTATTTTTTGTTTTTGAAATTTACCACCTACATTGTTGTCTAGATTAGCAAAAACAACAAATACCATCCCACTGTAGAAAACCTGTTTATTAGACAAATTATACACAGAAAGCTTTGCCACTTGTAACAGAGGCCCCAGTTTGTTCAGTTTTGAATAATATGCAACACATACAACAAAATAGGCCTATATTAAATACTGTACATCATAGAGTTTTGAAAATTATCATGTAAATCCTGTAGTTCTATGGATGAAATAAAAAATGTTAACAGATAGCGCAAGAGCAAGTTTGTGCATGCTTTCTTTTTAATAAACTTGCCACTTTTTGTTATTTAGCCAGCAAATAATAAAATGAACTCAGGATGACTTGAAAAAAAGCAAAGAGTTTGTGATGGTGTGTTTATGTTGACCATTGGCAGGACAACAGAAATGCAGTAATGACACCGCTAAATTCAACACTAAATCTCATTGTGATATATTCTTTTCTTTCTGTTAAACAAAAATAGCATCAACATTAAAATATATATTTTTATAATGTCTCTTTCATTTGTACTAAATAAAACCTTTTAAATGTCTGTGTCCTATTTGTCATCAATAGCCATACTGTAGCCTAATATAAAAAAAGAATGCCTAAGATGCTTCAAAACACTGACAGAATTCTCTATGCAAAACATTTTGCAGTTTTAGTCCTTAAAGATAACAAACTGAAAACTTGTTCTAAACAACTAACATTATCAATTATTAATACAGTGTTAGTGAAAAGGGTTTGGTTCCATTTTACCACCCAAAATCCATAAAATATTCCTTTAATTATCTTAATGTACCGTTCACCTTCCCCAACCCAAAATGCACCATAATGGTCTCAGTTTGATTAATTGGCACTTTAAAAAACAAGTTATATAAACAGTACCCTTAATGTTACAGATATGAAATAGAAGTATATTTCATCTTCTACAAGGCAGCCATTGGGTTCCAATGGCTGGTGACTCTTTGTGACATTCTCATGACCTTAAAGCACAACCACTGATTTGCTTCCCTTGAACATTTCTAGTACATGGTGATATTTTAGGTTTGAGTGGAAGTTGGAAGGGTAAAGCGAACTAATCGACATATAAGACCTGTACCTATAATGGCGTCTTGTCAACACAAAATCGGCTCCATTTCACCACTTGAACCTGATAAGGCATGAGTAATGAACTCGAACATGACGTGGCCTTACAGAATGACCTTTTATCTTTTAAACACCTGGGCTATGGCAGTACTAAAATTAAGCAAAGCAAATAAAAAAGTTAAAGTTTGAATGACTTTATGATGCAAAACCAAAGACTACAGCACTCATATAGCAGTTATTCAAAATTTGCTGAGAAAAAAAAAAAACAAGTAGACAGCTCAGAATAATGTTACTTTTTTTGTACTTCCTGACCAAAACACATTCCACGTATTAAAATCTATTTTTTTCAAAAACAAATTTCCATAAGACATATAATAAGCATCATCTTTTTGAAGTCTTTAGGCTTGCCTTTTATGTTTTTTTATGTTTTTTTTTCCTTTAAATTGTTTTCTGTATAATCCCGTTTTACTATCCCTCTGAGTCTGATTAGAGGATCTCACCTTAACTTGAAAAGCAGATAGCACAATACAGGTGAGAAAAGAAATGGTCAGATCTAGTACATACAATCACTTACAGGTCTGTGGGCACTGGTACAGTGCAGTGGGATTGGCAGTCTTTATTGTGCATCAAAATGGTGAAAACAGTTTGAGGCTGATGCACAAAAATGGCAGAAACAGTTTAAGATCAACACCAAACAGGCGATTCTGCAGTGTCATACTGTTGCACTGTCATAGCATTTCAACAGTTTTTAGACTGATGCACTGTGAAGGTGCCAGCGTGTGTTCAGCTGTAAAGTCTTAGGTCTAGTCAGGCCAATGTGTTAACACCATCTTGGGGATGATTCCCTATTTAGAAGCCCAAGTATTGGTGAAACAACATCAGAGAAGAGAAAGTGTGTGGACTCGCACATGGTGAAAAGGCAAAGTAAAATTGGAGAAGTAGATTCTTCCAATATTCACTGAGATTGGGCCTTCTCAAAACTACAAGGGGTTGCTCTATGCATTCCCATGTATAAACTATATCTTATATATGCCTTCATAAAATAACGGACCCATAATTACCTAGTAGTTCAGCTCCTTGGAGTTGTTTCATGGCTAAAGACACCACCAGTCATTCATCAGTGGCAGTCCTGGAGCACATGTGAATGTATCATATTTCCTGTGGCTGGAGTAGTATAAAGTAAACCCTTCAAGATGGGGTTCAGACAGTAATAGGACTCAGGTCGCATCAACAAATTTCCACTACATGAGGCGGTCCTCATGTCATATAACAAACCCATTAAAAAAAAGATTCAATTTCACACATATGCCCAAAAATATTCCCCCAAACAATCACAAGAACAACAACAATAAAGAGTGAACTCCCCACCCCACACGCTTCCCTTCTTGCACCTCAATATCATGGTGTGCAAAGGATAAGAAATGCCACAACAGACCTCCAGCTCATTCATCTTCTCCACATACACCCCTGGAAACACCCAAGCAGAAACTGAAAACAGAAAGGTTCATATGTACAGAGATCTCTATTTTCTGACTTTTTAGCTTAGCCATAATGTATTTGTTATTCCACCCTGTGACTGACTCTAATCATCTTGACTCTTCCTTCTGTTCCTCCTCCTCTTTCTTCTGAACAATCATATCCTTAGCAGCTCCTCATATGGAGGTACCCCTGTCTGGATCATTGCCATATCCAAAGTTGGGTCCTGGACCTGTGGGCTGGTAAGGGATAGAGGACATTGTTTTAATGGGGCTACGGAAAAAGCCACCGTTGGGGGCCCTCTGCCTAAAAGGGCCCACACCCCCAGTTCGGTGGTCCTGGAGGCCACCCCCGCCACCGCTACCAAAACCAGTGGAAAATCCAGCAGCGGCTTTGGCAGAGAGGCTGCGGCTGAGGGTCTGAATCTGCTCAGGAATGAAGGTAGTGGTCGTGATGTGGGTGTTGCGGAAATCACTGATCTGCTCGAGCGCCTGGCGTGCAGCAGGCAACGCATCCATGTCAAGGGGTGTTAAATCGACGGAAGAGGTGGAGAACTGCTTGTGGGGGCTTTCATCCTCGGTGCACAAGCTGTTAACCCGGCGGTGTAGGTGCTCCAGGTCGATCTCTTTATCGTCCTGCAGGTAGGGAGGGGCAGGGAAGTAGAAGGACAGAGCATAGGAAGCAGTAATGGTAAATGATAAAACGGAACAGAGGTTAATGGGAAGGGAAGGCAATTGGAAAGAATATGGGGTGGGAATAAAAACATTAGGAAGGAACGGTTGAGAAGGGATGGGATAAGTGCAAATATTCAGGCACAGTGTTTGAGAATGGGAGAAGTGGATGAGAGAATTTGAAAAGGGAACAGCAGGAGAGAATGAGAGGGATGAGAAAATGGCAGTATGAGAATGAAAGCGATGAACCAAGAAAAGTTGGATAAAGGAGGTAAAAGGAGTGATGGTAGGGCAAATAGAAAGTAAGGAAATGAAGAGAGCAGAATATGTGCAGAAAAAGATCCATCGGAGCAGAATGAATGTGCAGGAAGAATAATAGTGAAAGTGAGAGAAGGGTGTTGGACAGTGCAGGTGATAAAATAATGCAAGCAAAACAGCATGCATGTGGTGAAACAAAAGTATTGGCAAAATTTTTTAAAAAGTATTTATTCAAGTTGAGGTTATTGCATTAATGTTTGAGAGTGAGAATGACACAAAATAAAATAAATTCATGTTTGATGGTCACAGGGAAACATAGATATTACAGGAAGAGCAAAAAAGAGAGGAGGGGGAAGATGGAAGAAAGGATAGAGAAGCACACTCTGAGCTGTGGTCAAGATATCAAAAAAGAAACACACACTTCTACAAGGTCTTTAAGCAAGTGCAGAAAATCTAGAATGCACAGAGAAAACAGTGGCATCATGCCGTGGGCTCTGTGATTCGAGGGTGCTACGTCTATTGGCAAGCATTACCGTACATTATCTAATATTATAATACAAATACAACTGATACTATGAAAGGCAGTCCAAATATTCAACAGAAACTTACTTATCTTAATATTTATCTTGATTCTTGGCACCTGTGTTGCATTCAGAAGCTATCATGCCAAAAAATTCACATTGAGATTGACATCTCATTTTCAAGTGAATTTTTTTCACATCATATACAATTCATAACTGTAGCTATGATAGCTTATTTATTTACCGCATCATAAAAATAGATTAACAATCAACAGTCTTCACAGTCTTAACAATTCCACTTAAATACAAAGCACATACATTAACTTAGGCTTTAACTTATAGTATAAGTTAAACAAAACATAAATGTTGCAAAGCATACATTATATAACTATATTCACATATAGTATAATAACTGAGCCACATTATCTAAAGGATGGTAACACTCAGTGAGAGGTGTGTCATGCTTTTATTGCAGAGGGGAGGGTGGATAGTAGTGCAGATGAGCTCAGTTTGTGATGAATGAGATGAGGATATAGAAAGGAGGGAGCTCAGATGAACATCATTAGAAGGTGCTGGAGAGAAATTCCAAAATGTTTGAACTTTTGCATTGTTCGTACACATGGCAGTGTGTTTCTCTAGTTTTACGAGTGGTAGGATAAGATAAATTTTTCTGAAGGGTCTCAGGGGTAGGTGATCGGTAGAGTGGGATGTTACTTTAGGTGTCTTTTTTGTGTTTCAGGCCTCAGTTGTTTTACTTATACTGCCAAACAGGGTTTTGTGAGGAAGGGAGACACATTAGTGGGGTTAAAGATAGATTTACTGACTGTGTCATTCAGGTCTGGGGTGGGGTTATTGCCCTACTGTATGTAGCTCACAGACCGAGGGGACCAACAACGGTGCCCCCTGGCTGCCATCTAAAGGAGGGACAGTAGGAGGAAGAAGAGAACGAAGGCGCACTAATGTCTGTTGTGACACAATCATACACATTTGAAGAAGGGGATATCAAAGGGGAAGAGTTGGTATCAAATGAAATGAAGGGAAGTGAAAGAGAAGAGTGCATCACAAATGGTCGGTGTGCTGTCTGTGAAAGAAGACTAATGGGAGATAGAAGCCAGGAAAAGTGGAAGGTTTATGTAGAAAAAGTGGCAGGATCTGACAGCATGTATATTACTGTGAAGTGAGATATGTATATATTTTCCTCCATTATAATACCAACTGTAATATTACAGAATAGAAGTCAACACTAAATCACCCAAATAATCATAACCTATATTGATATAAATTAAATAATAAATGTAGATGCCTGAAATGTGTTGAAATATACATCTCAAATTTATTGTGCATTACAAAGGCCTTATTTTGGAGAATAAAGTTTAGACCACAACATATTTTGATTTCATTTGTATTGTGAGGTTCTGCAAAAAATCCTTTTGTTACACAAAATAAAAACTTCATGCAACTATACAGAGCACTTAACTTTGTCTGCCTGGAGAAAGATGATGCTCATTTGCCTCTAGACGGAGAGACAGCACCCTCTAATGGCACAAAGGCATCATTGCACACATAGTCAACTGGCATTATGCCAGGTATATATATATATACACAATTTTGAAAGTGGTACATTTGTTTTGAACAGAGAGCTTTGCTATACTATACACCAAAGTTTGAACCCAACTCCCTGCATCAGTTCTCTTACATTATCATTTCAAATAAGCACATTACTAAACACTGATTTATTTTTTATCTTCTATGGTATGTATAACCTTGGGGTGGGAGGCGATGTGGTGAAAGTGGTCATTCTCATTTTGGGGGTGAGCTCAGAAGGGTTGGCAGGTTCGTAGGAATGCTGCACGATCAGGGCGCAGGGAATGTTGCAGCATGCTGGGGGCTGGTAATGGGTGGCAGTGGGGACAGTGGTGTTGGTAGTGTTGAGAGTCTGATTTTGGGCTTGACCGCCGAGGGCAAGAGGGTGCTCAACGGGGCCCTGCGGGCATGAATCAGCAGCTTGACTGGCAGATGGGCCATCTGCCTGTGTCTGGTGTGAGTGTGTGATGTGCATGCGGGTGTTTGTGTGAGGAAAAAGGGACAGAAAGAGAGAGACAGAAAGAGAAATATAGAGTAATTCATATAAAGGTGTTTGTGTGTTTGTGTGCATGCAAGTTGATTAGGAAGATTAAAACAAGCCAAAAAAAAAGGAGCCAAACAGACCCACAGGCAGACAAACGGCAGATGAGTGAAGACAGAGAAGAGATGAGCGACAGATGAGATCAGGCAGATGGAAGGGTGGTAAGGTGGAGGAGAGAGAAGTCAGTTGGAGAGACAGACAGGTGAGGGGTGAGCAAGAAGAAAGACATGGCAGTCAGTCAGCACACACAGTTAAGCAGGTCATTCTGTGCTGTGTCCTCAAAGAGACATTCACAGTCATTATATACCTGGAAAGGGGAGATGTTTAAATGGCATTTTGTATTGCTCCCTCCCCCACACTCTCTCTCTCTCTCTCCCCCTCGCCCGCTACACCCCTCAACACAGAGTACTTATCTACAAAAACAAAACAAAAAGGCAATATGAGAGCTCAGAGCCACAGTGACACAGATTACATAGAGTTAGAACGAGGAGACTGGCAATTCCCATCCAAACCACAAACTTGAAAAATAATTGATGTGTACCAAAAGAACTTGATACACAAGGAAGTGCCTGCTCTTCTCATGCTAAATCTACATAGTTTATATGAAATATCAGACACAGTTCAAACCACATATGTTACCATTATGGAAGAGTTCTGACAACGACAGTTATCTGTATTTTGATTATGCAGAATTATAGTTGCTCTGAGTTTTGAATCTTTGGAGATGCATTTGATTCCAGTGACAGAACTCTTTCATACAAATGTCTGGTAGAACATATATACTGTAGATCAAAAAAGGGTAAAGCAATATAACCGCCCTGTTATGAATGAAATGGGCCTCAGACACTTTGGAAATAGCTTGTCAAAAGCATCAAGATGTCAAATGATAGTCTAGCTTCTAAAGCAGCATTAGGTGCACATCGATCCCTTTTTCATCAGTTGTATGGTACTATCACACACCCAGAGATCAACCCAAAATGAGTTAGGTGCTCCTGAGCAGGATAAAAAAAGTAGCAATAAAGAGGATGACTAATTTACAAAAATATTGCTAAATGTATCATTATGTGTTACCAAATGGAAAGATGTAGACAGGATATAAGAACATGTTGTAGTGCTCTGTAGTCATCATCTTTCATTTGACTGAGGAACTTGTTGGGAGATGGTTCCAAAATCCCCCTTTATTATGTGTATATGTCCTTGTTTAATGTGCTCAGTCATGATACATTTCTTATCATTGGTGACCTGTATTAGTTAACACTGTGGACATGTGTGTTTGTGTTTGTGAGTGTATAAACACACTAATAATAAGGAAAATATATTCCCTATAAAGACTCATAGATAACAGTGTCAGCCATTCCACAATACACAACACAGAATCACAGCACAATCACTGACAGCCCACAGTCAAAAGCAATTAACACAACATTATAGCATACAGAATGAATGTAAAAGCATGTGCGTACATGTACAATGTGTGATTATGCATGTTTTATTATGAATACGCAACACAGACACAAACACAGTTTAGTTGTATAAGACTTCTGAATAGTGGATTTTGAGTTTTCGTGTATGCAGATGGTAAGTTGGGGGGGAGGACATGCAATCTGATAATAATTTAAACATAATTTAAATCAGTATTTACTGATTTTGAGAGAATTACATCCACAATAAGTTTATATGTGTCATTGTAAGATAACCTGGTTCTTGATTGCTGCTGGTGAGAGAGAGGGCGAATATGAACTGAAAACCACCGGGGCCCATGAAGCATGTTTAAAACAAGATGGACAAATGTACGCATGCCTAAAATTAATGATATATATCATATAGCACATCTGACACAAGCTCGACACGATGGAAGAGGCGGCTAAATGATGACGTGTATGCATGCATGTGAGAGTGTAAGATTAGTGTGTGGGTGTGTTACTGTAAGAGCAGCCACATTGGGGGAGCAATTTGTCATCTTCAGGCAGGACAAATATGGATTTGCTAGTTGGCAGACTAATCAGAAATGATAAGAAGTGATTAGCTCTGTCAGTGGACTTTTTGTACGTAATGCAAAA